TAATTAAAAATAAATAAAAGCATTATTTTTGTAAATTTTTATATTCATTTTATTTTATATTGCTCAATTATTAAAAAGACTACAGGAAAAAAACCAAATTTCTAACTAACCAACTAGATACAAAATGAAAACAAAAAGTGACTTGTAATTTTCTATTGAAACATTATTTCTGGCAGAAAACATCATTTACAAAAATTAAGAACAATGAAAGCGCGTAACGTCGCGCGCACCATAAATATTTCTCGTTTTTTCGATAATTTTTTTTCCGGTTTTTTCCGATTATTATGAAAACCCCACGGAAAATAAAAAAAAGGACCTTCCAATGCACAAACTAGATAAAATTTCTTTTCAGAAAAGGAGCTTCACTATTGACATATGGGAGAAAAATGTCTGGTAGAAAAATTGCTTAGACATAAAAAAATAAAATGCATCATAGTCAAATCAATAGAACCCTCGCAACTCTCCGAATCTATAAGATCTATCTATAATATAACCTAATATAACCTAATAAATATATTAGGTTTAATGACATACACAGGATTCCCAATATCTACAAATATATTAAGACATTTTTTAATCATACCTACAAAATACACTATACCCTGATTCAAAAGAGAACATACCACTTTCTCGACCAACTTTCGTTCGACAGTGCGTATCTCTACAAGTTAGCACCCATTGAGTAATATAGAGATGCGGTATCGTATCACGGTAATACAAATGTTTTGAAGACAAATGTTAAGTCATTTACCCCAGATGTGTGTCACTTTACGATCCAAATATCTACTAGATGGCACTATTAAGACCTACGCTTAATTGATAAAACTAAGTGATATACTAGTGTAATACTGTAAACAATAAATAAATTATTAAATTAATAAGCTTAACAACTTAATATTGCTAGTGGAACATTCGTAATTATTAATTGAATTAATTACAATTATGATACCGAGTTGTATTGTTTGTGGAAAACCCATAGACATATAATAAATGGACTGCGCTTTCCACACCTCTCATCTATGGTGTTCGTGAGATAACGCGTAATAGTATATCTAAAGAAAAAAATATTACGCTTCATAGGTAGGTATAAATGTAGCTTTTTTTTTTCTTTAATCATCATAAATTTACAAAATATATTCAACAAATACCTTGTATCTTAATATGTTTATGTTATTTTGTAAAAGACAAAATTAAACAATAGTTTTGTTCTTTGTTATATGGTCACACGAAAAGTAGACCTCTTCCTTGTCAATTCAAAATCGAACAGCATCTCTAAATTACTCAATAAGAAAAATCATTCCTAAAAAACATGTCTATGGTCGTGACCAGTGCTACCTGGTGGAGATGGGCGCCGCCGAACAAAATCTGGTCGCGAAAGCGGTATGTTCTCTTTTGAAACACGGTAGTATACCTGAGGAAGGCAGTTTCTCAACTCGAAGACAAATAAAAACGTATCTATAATAGTCACTATGAGCCAAGAATGATGGAGCAGTATAGCCATATTATATATTGAAAAAGAAAATCCTATCAATTTTCAAAAAACAATTGATAAATCTAATACCGAAGCTTCTATAAGCTTGTTCGCCATTTGAAACTAAAATAACAGCAATTACCAGTTACTATTTAATTCACAATCTATATAATTGACTATTATTATTTATGTTAATAAATAAATAGTTACCTATTAAACGAATGTGTTTATTTATTTTGCAATTGGACTACAGACATGGATAGTAATAGATTTAAGAATTAAGTAATTTCTTGTAATACCAGTTTAATGTAGTTACCTACCCACTTGTATTGATCCTGACTTCTGATGATTTTGTGATTGATGATGTTTTTCGATAGCCTAATATAGAATTTAAATTCGATAAAATTGCCGAAATATAGCTATTTAAATTATAAAAAACATTTTTAAGCTAAATATTGACCATTTTGCTCGCTCCGATACGGGATATTGCGTAGGTACCTCACGCAATTTGTAATATTTTATTAATTTTAACTTGTCTATTTGTATAAATTGGCCTATGACAAGGTATATACATTTTGTCATTTGATTCATTATTTTATTATTATTACAGCAATACAAATATGTATTCGATCATTTCACATATTTTGGCCTAATATTGAATGTCGGTCAAAAAGTTACGAAAAACAACGTTCGTAACTATTGCCGAGGTCGGTCGATTTCAAGTATCGACTCGACTAGAAGGTATTTGCTATGTGCGGTCAAAGTCATCAGCTTAACTTTACTAATATATGGCACAAACTACTCGACACTATCCGACAGAAATTTTCCAAGGGGCCCCGTGTCACGATGAAATGTATAACTAATATCTCCTCGTGAATTCCGCAGTACGTTCTTGTTTGGGTACCTATACCTTCTTATTTCTTCATAAACTGTACATGTTACGATGATTAAAAGTGACCAATAGGATACAGAAAACGCGCTCCTTAAAACCGTACCTATATGTTGGTGAATAATCACCAAGTATAGACAATTTTGATAACATTTTCGAAAAAAAAAAATTTAATTAGAAATTCATATTTAAATAAATGTATAATTTCGTTTTCTTGTTGTGGCAAACGATTTTTTATTTTTTTTTTTGGAATATTAACTAAAACATATACGAACAACTCGTTTAACGATTGATACAACTCAGTCTTAATTTATATATCAAATTGTATAAAAAAAAAATTGTTTTTTTTTTTTTTTTTTTTATTGGCATTATAAACAAAATTATTAAAATTTGAAAAACGTGTTTTTAAATTGCTAATCAATAATGACTTTCTTTTTTCTTTTGTCTATTCGCGATACCAATTGAAAACATTATTGCATGTTTCTCTTGCAGCTCACACGCAAATCTGTTTTTAGTGTTTTACGAACAATTTTAAGAGCGTTCCGCTTCCTCTTAAATCACGATGTTTTTGTTGTAACGTATTTACGTCATGATTTGTCGGCGAAAAACGCATTAATTTTGTAGGGTACGTTGGTGAATTGGAAATGCTAAATACGACATGCAAGTAAGTGTACGGTATCGGAAACTGTGACTTATTACAATAAGAGGCTTTATGCCCTAATCTGCTTAAAACAATAACCATTTAAACATTATGGGTACCTATGGTATGGACGAGCAAACAATAAATTACAGAATTAATGTTATATTTATTATTAGGTCGGCTATAGTTGCTGAAAACTTCTATTCCGAAAAAAAAACATGTTCAATTTGAAAGTACAAGTTGTTTTTTTTTTTTTTTAACATAAGTCTATGAAACAAAAATTATTATTTCCTACCTATATAGTTTCATAAATTATGAAAGATTATTGAAAATAAAATAAAATGCAAGATCTTAATGTTTAGATTCTAAGTGGAGCAAGAAATATATTGGTTTTACAATGATGTTTATTTTATTTTTTTCTGTGCAATTTTGCTCTAATTGTCAAGTGTGACACTTTTTCTGAGAAAATCTCACCGAAGTGGTACTCTACCGATCATTATTTTTATTTTCCCAGTTTCTTTCGTAATAAATGGGAAAAAAACTGGAAAATTTACGAAACATACATATTATGTTTTAAATTTGTGTTTTGTATTGATTCAGTTAAAAACATTTGTAGAGATATAAAGTTTGGACAGAAAACTTATATTTGCTTTTCTAGACTTAGTAAAATGTTCAAAACATTGTAGCTATTTTTAAACATTTTAATTTTATGGGACGTTTTTATAAAAGTTTTGTTCAGTAATTACTCTGTGGATAAAATTGTTGGACCGAATTGAAAAGCTAAAATATTTAACAGGAAGTTTATTACATGTAGTACTTAGTGGACAAAAAAGACAAGCATACTTCGCACAATAAGTGGACCACTGTTGGAGGTGTGAAGTTAGAAAGATAAAGGGGAAATCTAATGTATATCTATACACCTACTCCATACACTTTAATTAAGTTTAATAATTTTATTTTCAAATAGCAACCTCCCCCTTTTTAACACAGATTTGAATAGAGAATATTTTTCAAGAAATTTTGATACACATGACAGATCTAATATCAGATTTACGGTTTATGAGTTATAATAGTTTAAAATTTATATTTATATTATAATTTATAATAGATCTATGACTCTATGATCTATGACTTTTTTTTAACACTTGTTTACCATTGAACAGTGTTATGTGGAGATATTGTCACGTTAATAGTTCATAATAATATATGACTATTTTACTATACTTGTATATTTTGTCAAAACAATGAGTGTAATGTAGAATTTTTTTTGTAAGAATTTTAATATCAAAGTTTGACGAAAATTGTAATTCTTGACTATTGTTTTGAAGGTAAAAATACTAACAATTTAATATTCTGGATGTGATTTCTTCAGCAACAATATTTCTATAGGATTAATAATGAAGTAAATACGAGTAAAATTACGGTAGTTTATTAATGCAGAAAAGACACACACTAGGAAAAAGAGCAATAACATTTCGGTGCGAGGAAGGTATCTGAGCTGAATGACTAGGCCGGGAAATATTTAAGGAAAAAAAATGAGAAAATGTGTGTTGACATCCAGTGGCCAATATTATACATATATTATTATACATAAATTATGTATATGGGGTGACATTCAAAGAAAATTGTATATTCATAGAAAATATAATTTTAAAGTTTGTCAGATTACATGAAACATTTATCGTTACATTTTTATGTTTTAAGAAATGTATGGTTTATTAGTTTCAATAATATTTATTACTATTCATACTTTCGTACCACATAAATTAACTAATTATTTGTAATTTAAGATGACGCTACAAATGGATGTATGTTTTATGAAATTATCATAAGAAAAAAAAAAATATTTTTAACATTGTTTTGTATCGGTACTTATCACATTTCATTATTTTATAATCATAATATCTGTTGTGAACTTGGTTTCTTAAATACAATAACGGCCTGAGAAACCATTTTTCTTGCCATAACGGTTAATAATATATCCAATATAGTACCTACCATTAAGTAAAATGTGCACAATGGGATGTGGCAGTGAAAGCTGCCGGTACAGGCTTCACTTCTTCCAGTTCGTTGGAGATTTTCTCGATCTCCAATGGATGGGAGACTGTAATAATAATACATACAATGATTAAATTGTTATTTTGCGTTAGTCGACTGTTTGGTATATTTACCAGAGAAAAGTGAACGAGGAGCTTCTTATTGATTGTTGCGGAGTTATTGTGCTTATTAGAATAAAAATATAAATGTATTCATGGTTAAGTCACTGGGCCAAGCCTATCTCCAATGGATAGTTTCTAAACAATAAACATTTAAAGTTATTCATTAAGTAATTATAAGTAATGATAAGTAATTAAACATTGAGGTAAATGTGTATGTTATATATCTACAGTTAAAACTGTCACTTCCTCACATTTGTGAACTGAAAAAAAAAATATATAAACTAATTTTCTTATGCCCATTTGCAAACATTTAATATTAATAATAATTATGCTTAAATATATTTTGTTGGTCAAATCATACGACTAATATTACTAATATTACGACTAATATACGACTAAATATACGACTAATATTTTATGCATATATTTTTTTTGGAGACTTATTGTTATAACTTTATAAGGTTAGCTAAAGTTTTTAGGATCAAATCTTCATTAAAAGTTCTCAACTGCACGATAGTTCGGCCTATACTCGAATATGGTACCTCATTCAAGTATACAACTGATAACGTTCTACAACTGAAAAAGGTTTAATGAAGATTTTTGAAATTCATTAATTACTTTTTAGATGTTACTTGTTCGCCACATTATTATTACCCTGTTACCAATCTTGGTTTAGTCTTATAAGTAGAGCACAGGTATTTTTTAGGACCAAATTTCAAGAAGACTTATTAATAGACAATGTTGATTCACGATCCTTATTTTCCTTAATTAACATTAAAGTTCTATAACAACCTTCTCGTTTCTTTTCTGCGATTCTCATACCTTTAAGCACCATCAACTACACGAGAAATGAAACTATAAGATGTTTGGTGACTCATATCAATACTGACTCCACTTTTCATTTTAAGGTATTTTTAAGTTTTTCATTTTTATTCCATAATGTTATTTATGTTTTCTAATATTTACTATAATACTATAATGTTATTTAATTTGTACTAAAGAGCTTTTTTGAATATGTTTTAATAAATAAATAAATGTCCAGTAAACTGAGCTCCGCACAAGCATGGGATGAATCCTATAACTTCCTAACTTTCCTTTCACCAAAACAATAAGTTTATTTCTTCAAATTTGGTTATACTTAATTTAAATCAATAACAAACACTTATAAACATGATGTCGACCATAAACTGACCGCAGACGCCAGACTAACACTATATTATGACGAGTCCCTTCGCCGTGACCACAATTCCACTCCACTACCCACTATTAACATTGGACCTATTATTCGATATTTTGCTGGTATAGTGGTAATGGAATATAGACCCCTAGAGTTTCGGCGGCCACCTTACACGATAACCTGATTAAATATATTTATAATAATAATAAATAATAATAACTTCGGTACATTTGGAATTATTATAAAATATTCATATCGCACTCTGGTATTAAAAATTGTAACTATAGTTAGCATTCATCGTACGACAAACGTCAAAATATATTTATATTTTAATCATCATTATTTATTAAATTATAGATTATTATACATGTCCCGACTGACTGATTCATCATCGCCTAGCTCAAACTATTGAATGGATCGGGCTAAAATTTGGCATACAAGTAGGGAGTTGGTATGACCTAAGCATCTGATAAGAACATTTTTTTAAAACACTGTGATATTTGCGATTTTTAGATAAAATATTTCGTACTTTTTCCCATTTTATCTATTTTTTTCCCCGGTTTTTTCCATTTATTGGGAAAACTTCTTGAAGGAAACTTAAAAAATGGCATTCTGAAAATCCCCCCCCCAGGAAAATTCTCTTTCAGAAAAGATGCTATACTTAATACTTCAGAGCGAAATTTCTGGTAGAATTTATATAAACAGTTCATACGAGTATCTTATTATTTGTTTATTCATGTGCTATCTTGGTGACGTGGATAACAATTTAGTTGTCACGGACAAAAAAACTATTATTATTATTATTTACACTATTTTATAGCAATATGCATTTCAGATCAGCTAGTATATTATATAACTATAATATTACGATATCTATCCGATAAAACGTAAAAAGGCCCACAAAGTATAAAATATATTTTATAATATATTTTGAAAAAATCGAGCATTTTTTTTTTTTTTTTTTTTTTTCTTACACAAAATCAAAAAGTGAACACTTAGTGTCAATTTGAAAAATACTATCAGATTCAGTTTGTTGTAATTTCCTGAGTTCCAGGTGCCAATTTTGCACGCTTTTGAAACTGACAATACTCCCAATAATACGTTTTTGTAAAGTACAAATATAATTCATTTGATATAATATAGGAGAAATACAAATCGATCGTGTATTTTAGAAAAGTAGGCACAAAAAAAAAAAAAAAAAACCACTATAATAATATGTTAAAAAATGTGTTAAAATGTTTACAAATCGTGATAGCATTTTGATGATATTGTATTTTAATATAATATACAAGAAAAAATATCCGAATACGTAATAGAGATCGTTCCGCAAGTGTGTTGCAGATAATGTTTACGTTGCACAACGTTATACAATAATTCGTATACTCTTTTATGGAACAAAAAACATCGAGCAAATAAATCAGACGTCTTCGATAAGGCCGTCAGAAAGATAACAATATATATATAGTAGTTTCGTCACATATCGTCATCACTCCAAATCCGTATAATGCATCGGCGGTACGATGTCCGATAAATTATTGTACACGATTTGTACGCGATTCCGTACGGAAAAAATGTTGACAAACAAAATTTAACGTATATCCCAACTTCCCAAGACATTAAAAATGCACTGGCTAACGCGTTTCTTGCAATTCTTGCTTTTGTGTGTACATATCCGTGATTAGTCTCGTGGTTTTTAAACCGACGTCATTATAACATTAAAATTTCCCATTTATTTGTTCTAACGAATTAATACTTATATCCAGGTTCGGATTAAAAAGGGACCAGAGGGTGCCATGGCCTCAGATGCCAGGCTATGGTGGGTAATACGTTTCCTACAATATATTACAGATAAAGGATATATTATTATTATTTATGCTATCGTAATAATATCATATTTTTTTAACGGGATGATCAGGACGATCTCTTAAATATATTTAGATATTTGCAATATTTTGATTATATTGATTATGGGCCCCGAAAATTGTTTGGCTCCAGATCCAAAATCATCTTAATCCGGGCTTGTTTATATATACATAGTAATTACAATATTATGTTTTTCCGGACAATGTATCAGTTTTCTTTATACAATTTACAAAAGGGAGAGGGTTCCAGAAAGGTTAGTGAACTCCCCCCACCCCCAGACACCGATATAATTTTAATAAAATATCGTCTAAAAAACAGGCATATAAATTCGAAACAATGTAGCTTTGAAATTCATATGAATTTTCAGTATCCTTCTAGAAAAACATTGAAAATCCGCTGGTGTGCGTCATATTTTATATTAGATCATATTTACACGTGTACTTATAATATTATTATTTTGCGAGTAATACAATATTACAATTTTGAGTACCCCCTGCGGTTGTTGTTTTAATACTAAATAATATTTCAAAATGCGAACCACGTGAATAAACGAATGAAGTGCTGAACTGAAGTGCCTCTGATCTGAAAAGAGAAAGAGAAAAAAAACTTTGTTTTCGAATGCTGCGTAAAATAGGTTTATGAACAAAACGTCTATAAAACTTTTCGACCGATGGAAACAAATTATTGACGACTCAATCTGCAATATCTCTCTGTATGGTTTCTATAAATAGTTAAAAACTTTTAAATTGCTACACACACGTGTGGGCCAATTGTTTTCTTTTACTCCGGTATCGCTATAACTTATTATTAAAGCCGCACGCCGACTAAATGAACAAATGCCTCGACAATACGTTATTTATTTATTCGGAGAACGAACACATTATTGCAAAGTAGATTCCTGGCATCGATCGAATCTCCGAGCAATAGATTTTTTTTTTCCGTTTATTAAAAAGGCACAGACAAGATAGTCGTCACATGTCGTATTTAATTTTAAATTGTAAATGCAGCGAGGAGTATGTGAATTTTACTATGATGTGTGTTCTTTTTTTTCTGTCTATTAACAACTTTTTACCAAGAATCTCTGTCCAATCGAAAAACTATATTTCAGAGGCATACTGACGTACTGACGACGTAGTAACGCTGCACAATCACTATACGAAATCCACGGGAACCGATAAGAATCGAGCCGCCCAGTTGTTGTTTATGTATTTTTTTTTATTGTGCCTTCCAGCAGTATCATTGTGTACATCACATACGTTGTGCTTTCACACCAGGGCTGTATTTGAGCACAAGCATCATAGGCTGTAGCCTATGGAATCACATCAAAAAAAGCTAATAAAAATAATGATAATAATAAAAATGAAAGGCAATCAGGATTGTCCCAGTTCCAGGCCAATATAATATCCTAAATAAACAGTCATATTTCACGCCATAAAAGCCTTTTTTAATAATAGCTATTTTAATTTCTAGATAAATAGAGAATAATATTTGATTTATTGTGTCATAAATTGAAAATGTTAGAAATTAAAACGGTTGTTACTAAGAAGCTATTAACTGGAAATAAATGTTTAATAAATTACACTATTTAGAATGATATCTTTAATTTTGAAAAATTAATAAATTATTTAATCATATTTTATAATTTTTAAAAGTATAATTAAATTATTATTTTTTAGATGTTAGGGGATGAAAATAAGAATTTAGTTTTTCTCTAAACAGATATCCTCCTCAAAGAAAAGCAGAATGAAAAAAAAATTAAATATTAACAGCTATAGAAAAATCCATCGAATATGGTGGGACACCTGTGTATTATATTAGTGTAAGTGGGACCAAGCTATAATTTGCTATCACATTCAACTTTAATAATTTATTGTTCTTTTCGTTTCCTCAGTATAGTAAGCTGTCCCAAAGGTACGAGAAAATTATTTTCTTTGTTGACTCATTTAACTTTCTTTTTTTTTTACAAATTCGTACAGCCCATTTGTAAAGTTTATCGTATGAATAGTAAGAGAGCTGTTTTTTTGCATTATGAATCTAGTCGGTAAATTGAATATTTTTTGATATTCAAATCAATCAATTTTCATAATAATTATGAAAAACCAGAAAGAGTATAGGAAAATTGGATAAATGTATGACAGTAAAAATCATTATTGTGAATTTTGTTTTTCTACCAGAAATCATGCTCCAAAATTCAAGTTTAACATCTTTTTCGAAAGAAAATTTTTTCTAGTGAGTTTTTAAGAGAATGGTTTATTTTCAATTACTGAGACAATAGTGATTAAAACGTAACAAAATGGGAAAATTTAAGAAAATAACGGTTTTGTTATTATCGATTCATTTATTAAAATTAAAATTTGAATGGAAATCGTAGAAAATACAAGGTCCATCATAAGTTGCATATGATCCACAAAAAATGATCAGTCATACAGTTTTTTTTTTTTTTATATGCCATTAAGTTCAAATTTTTACGAAAATCCTTAAAATTACAAAATTTTAAAACATTTACAACCGAACGTTGCTCAAAATCGTATTTTGTGATTTACCATTACATACGAATACCTGTAAATTAAATAAATTAATGTATCCTATCATTCTGCCTACAATAGTGACACTCACCTATCAGCAGTGTCAGCTCTTTTTTTTAAATTATAATCCAATATAATTAATAATAAAAATCACGAAAAAAGCTAGTTATAGATAATACGGATAATAAAACTAATTAAATGGTTGCCACAATTGGATCTCTTCGCCTTAAATTTATCTGGGGGAAAGAACCGATAAAGGTTAGTTATTACACCGAGGTAATCTACTGATTCGATTCATTCATTTTCTCGTCCAACAGAAAATCGGAAGTCAGGACAAATAAATTACCTGGAAAAGATGAAGACGGCTAAGAAGTAGGTATATAAATTACATATAAAGTTTTTAATAATCATACAACAGAAAAAATTAAGGAGAAAAAAAAATTTAAGTATAAGTGAAAATTAATTTCGCTCTTAAAAAGGTGATTTTTTTTTTTTTTGTTTACACTGATTATACTCAACTTCACGCCTAAACTTCTGTCTCTGTATCGAAGATCAGATTAGCAAGCCGAAAACGACCAAATTGAAAATGATGGGAAAACTTTCACGTTGCCGAGATGCATACATAATTTCGTGGAAGTATACGAGAAACCGGAAAGTCAGGAAAATTACGGGACTGAAAAAAAATATTATTATAACAGACACAAACGCAATCCCGTCGCCAAAAGTAGATTTTAGTTGGACGTACGGTGTTATTAATTTTTTTTATATCGTTTTGTTCCCGAGCTGTTGTATGGCGGTTCGGATCACCGGATATTAATAACCATATGTTCCCGATGTTATTGCAAGGTGTCACTGTAATACGGCTATATACAGTAATATTATTATGACATTGTATGTACAAAACGAAACCATTTTCCTGTGGCGATTCAAAAATGTTATATACGGACCTACGTATATTAAAATAATATACGTGAGCTACATGGCAAATTTTAAATTTTAAATAAAATTACATCTGCACATGAATACGGGAAATCATTATATTTGTTGGACTATTTATAATATAGATCGGATAAAAAAAAAAAAATACTACAAAGTCTCTGATTATAATGGAAACATTTTGTCGTTGATTTGATTTTTTTAAGGTGTATCGTTTTTCTTGGGTATATAGATGAACCGCGTTTAGAATTCAATATTCAGATTCTGCGTATAATTTCTTCGTATACATTATTCGGTAATAATTCACAGCACTTTCAATTCCGTTGAACCCAACAAGTTATTATCTTCAGCGGAAAAAATGCTCGTATGCATCGTCGTTTATAATGTTGTTATAGACATTTCGATTGTATGTAAAATCGAAACGAATGGTATATATTTTTTAAGGGTGAGATTGATAAATAAATACCAGAAAGTTGAAAGTTTCTGTTGTAAAACACGTGCTAAACAAATCAATGTACCTATCGGTTTTTTCAATCGAGTCTTTTGTCACGAAAAAAACAACTTCACAGTTTAACATTATTCAGCACCCCCCCCCCCCCCCTCCAAAATAAACTTGTTCAGTGCTTGTACGTAAATATATTCGTATTGTCAAAGAAGCAAACAAACCACAAAAGATGAGTTCAGAATTCAATTTAAGTACCATTAAAAATGTCTTACAATATACTCTACATTATACGTACAGGAATGATTGATAAAATACGAATTTGAAATCAAAAGACAAATAAAAATAATAAAAAATATAAAAAAAAACACTTATCTCTTATCGTAAAATATAGGTATACACTATGGCGACGACTAAATTATTGTTTTCTGTGTTTACCTAACGCATTCGGTAATTACTGTAGTGATTTAAAGTTTGTAAATTTAAAATTGTACTTATCGTCACTGCAGTGTAAAAAGGCAAAATAATTTATAAGCAAAACACTTGGGAAAAACATTAATGAAAAGTGACATGATGAAAACAGAAAATTTGATTTGTTGCTGGGGATGAGCACAACGATTACGACGAATGAAAAATTATGAAAATATATCGCCGTACTTAAAATAAAATCATGAAATAACAAAAATTTCATTAAAATAAAGTCAAAATGTTAAATTTGTTATACATTGATCCTTGACTTGAGTTTTCAAATATGAATCGAACGAATTCAACGAAAAACGTAGAGTGAGGATAAACTTCCTGGACAAGTTGTCGAATAATTGTTTTTTATAAATAAATCCTCAAAAAGTTCAGAACGAGTTATTCGCGTCAAGCCAGATATTGCAGACACTTACCTATAGACACTCCATCACGATAGTGATCTCTGTCATCTTCACCATCTAATTTTTTACTCAATTCATATGATTTTTTTTTATTCCCCAAAATCAGAACTCCTTTGAAAGGACATAATTTTAAAAGTACATAGCTAAATAGATTAATGTGCGTTATATCCCCGTTCGGTTTTGAATACCCGCAAAAAAAGGTGATTCGATACTGACCTTATTTTTGTTTTCAGTTCAAATGAACAAATTATATGGATATCAAAAATATATGACAATTATTATTAATGACGGGTTGTGTTCGCAATGTTCATACGTAATAATATAATATTATTTCCGTTCCGCAACGTGTTTTGGATGACAAATATTAATCGTAAAATAAATTTACATGATACGCACAAGTATAAAAGCTTTTTAATTTAAAACATGACGTGCACATAACATTTACCGAATTAAGCGAAAGTTCATTGGAAATAAACATTCTGCGCGTGTATACTGTATGTTTACATGTAAAGTGTATACACACCGCAATGTCAGTACAAAGAAATTCCATAATGATTCTATTGAAATCAACCCGTGTAAAACACAACTACTCCAAACAGTTCAAACACAATATAATATCATACAAATATACACGTCGTATAAGATGCTTAAACCGATGCATACGAACAAAAGTTATATAAAAAGTTTTTCGATATTTTGACATTTTTATCCTAGACCCATAAAACAGAGCTCCACTTAATATTTTTCTGAAAATTAAATGGGAATAGCTAAACTCTAAAATTTCTAATCAAACTCATAAAAAAATAAAAGTTAAAAATATTATAATTATTTAAGCATTTCAAACTTCAAAAACTCAAAAACGTGACCCTACGATTACTAAGAAAAATACCTTTGAAGAGGTACCTTAATACATTTTTGTCTTACTTAAAATTTTATTTATTTGTTGTTCTATTAAAAAATATATTTATAATGTATAAGTAAAGTATGACTTTCCTGATGGAAAAAAAGATTAATAGATTTTCCTCTGTTTAAGGGTATTTTTCAATAATTGTTGAATCCCCCCCCTCCCAGAACACGTTGTTTTCAGTACTTGACCTTCAATTTTTCACAAATAGCCACAACTACTGGAATAATAACAAAAAATGATTAGTTTCCGGATACTTTTTACAGAACTAAATCTATAAATAATGTATACTCAACCAATATTATCGTATAAAATATAACTTACTCAGTTCAACAATCTATATGAGTAATATCGTTTCGAATGTAAACATAGTTTGCACAACGGGGTGCGTGTAAAAACAGAACAGCGGGTGAATTATGAACTCGAATTTGACAAATAATAATGAGCAGAAAATAATTTCAAATAAATGTTTACTCTCATATTTAATATTTTAATCTATAGGAAAAAAAACAACCACTAGTTATATTCTGTTCGTCTTTCGAATCATATGAAAGATACGAGAAAGATGAAAACTGCACGAGTTTTATGATGTGTTTTAATTTTTTTTTTTTTTTATTTGTATTTATAAAAAAAAAAAAAAGATACTCTAAATTTATAATTGGTCCAATTTTAAATTTTAGTGAAAAAAAAACTGGTAGGCGTAGATAGTTTCATTCATTAGTCATGTATTTATATACGTGAATTTTTGCAATTGGTAAGTGCTGACAGTCACCGATTAATGTCACCATACACCAAAGTTCTGTATGAACGTTGGCATATTGATTAAATTTGTACTGTTTGTGTTAACAAACATTCACTAGTGTGTGTTGATATTTATGTAACGATATTAGTTGATAATTTTGATAAAATGTTTTATTACCTTACTCAACTACATTTATTATATCTCGATAACAGCCATGCTATGTTGTCTCAGTAAAATTTACTATTTAGTATGATATTGCCATTCAAGATTCAACACAGTTAAAATATTTTATTGTATAGGTACGATTATTATGCACAATGACCGAAAATGTTGTTTTTTCTTAATGAAAAATATACGTGAAGTATTTTATAATAAATTTAATAATTTAATATCTAACGAAAGACATCATTTTTTTTTTTTTTTTTAATCACTAGTAAATGTCTACATTTTATTAATTTTTCAATGTTCACAAATTTAGAAAATGTATATTCACTAAACATACACTAGGTGATTGTCAGCATTCGCCAATTGTAGAAATTTGGAAATTAACAGTAACATATATATATATATAAGATTTAGGTACGCGTGGCAATTGCTCAGAAATAGTTTTTCGCAGAGATAATTCTAATAAATTATTTCCCAGTGCAACGCACAAAAAAAATGTAGCGAGAATATTTTAACGGAATTTATTTTGATTAATCGTATTTTTCGAACAATATTATCGGCAATCGTATTGTGAAAAGTAATACTAGCGTAATTCTCGCGCACTGCGGTAAAGGTAGAACGAAATTACAAAAGACGAGAGATGGCCAACATCAGCCGATTTTTAAACCCCATTAAATTCGATAAATTGTATTATTCTTTCACGAGCGTGAATTTAATACAATATTATATTTAACGTTATGTTATAAATGAGTTAAAAAGTTAAATAATAAGTTAATTTTAGCTTTAAACTTTTTTTTTTAAAACTTTGATCTTTTTTCAACTAAATCAATTTACATTAAATGTAAATTAAAAATGAATACATTACAATTCATATATAGATATAGATAACATCGTGTAATTATTCTTTTTTTATCTTCCAAATTGGAATCGTAACTTTAAAATAAATATAGTTTGATGCAGTTATACTTGAAATAATTAGTACTGCAGTACTTAATATTTTTTAATGTATCAACCCTATGTATCGTCCTTATTTTCAATAAATGGTGTATTCTAGGTTTATTTGATAGATAAAAAAAAAAGAAAAAAGTTAAGCGTATTATAGTTATTATTTTTTTTATAAGCATTTTAAGTTTTTGAAAATCGTTAAAATTCGCGATATTTTAAAACATGTTTTTATTTGAACTTTGCTCAAAATCGTACTTCGTAAGCAATGATTTATCGATGCGGACCGATTTAAATTAAATAACATTATACACTTATCCTACCTTCCGAATTTCTCACCCTCAACAGCTGTACACCCATCAGTAGTGCTCTTTTTTTCTGATTCCATTGAATTTCAATAATAATTTATTGTTACCGGGCCTTCTTTTGATTCTGTAACGACAATAATTAAACGCGAAACTCTGGGGCAAACGGATATATCTTCAAAACAATATTATAATATATAGGTTACCTATACATAGTTAGCAATATAATCCGATTAAAACGTAGCCCTCGTCCATTTCAATGATTTCTCCCGAGCATAAATCACTATTACCGACTACCGTCGCACGCACACAGGGTGGAACTTTCCCAGATTTCCTTTTAGCCGAACTATACTAATTCCATAAATTATACAACCCGGCTTTGAAATGTTGGGTAATAAAATATTTTTATTCGTTACGGTCAATCATAAAACACGTTTTCCTATTTTATTTCCCTTCAGTTTGTTTCGTATAAAACCACTTCGTAACAATGTATTAGATATTATTTTCATTCCGCTCATAGTTTTATAAAAATCACTTAGTATAGGCATAAACCAAGCCAGACACTTGAATAGATATTTTTCAAATTCAAAGTGTAACGAGGAATATATTGGTTTTACAATAATGTTGTATATATATGTATATATATATATACAACTTTCTTACCAAAAATCTTGATCCGATCTATTAATTATGGCACCTTTTCAGAAAAAAAATTTTGTTTACGTGGTACAGAAGGTTATTTTTTTGATTTTTTAAATATTCTTCGTGATAATTGAAAAAACCGGAAAAAGACGAAAAATTAAAAATTTTCTACCAAAAATATTTCTCCAGTAGAAAAACATAAAAAAAAGATTTTTTATTGCATTTTTAATCTTGCTTATGAATAAGAAAGTCGTTATTTCATTTTCTCTGTATTTTCCATAATATTTTTTTTTTTTTTTTTGGGGGGGGGACGTAGAAAACGGGCAAATTTAAGAAAATAATATTTTTATTATTTTCAATATATTTTTTTCAGTTTTATTGTTGTAATTCAATTGAGAATATTCGTAGAAACTTGAAGTTTAAACAGAAAACTCATGTTTTCTTGTTCTAGACATAGTAAAATGTTCAAAATATTTGTGTCATTTATGAGCTATTTATAGACATTTTAATTTTGTATGTGTTTTTTTTCCGTGATTTTGATTTGGTACTCTGAGGATAAAATTGTCAGATTTAAATGCGAAAAATGCATGCAAGTTTATCAGGAAGTTAATTATAATTCGTACTTTGTAATCAAAACAAAAAAAAATTAGTGTTATGCACTGTATATTTTTCATAGTAGTTTTAAAATCAAATTTTGACGAAAATCATAAACATTTCAAAATATGTATAATTAAATTTCGCTCCAAAACGTTTTTCGTTAATGGTTTATCTTTGCGTACAGGTGTGTAAATTAAATTCCCTCTATATCCTACCTTCTCAACGGTTTTGTTATCCATGCAACTTTACTGGAATCTAACCTCCGCAGATAACGAAGAATTACTGTATTTTATAATGTTTTTTTTTTAAATTTTATTTCTTATGTACTCATACGCCATTGAACTATTGCATTTATTTTCATTTAAATTCTATTTTTTTTAGATAGATTCTAATTGACATAATTTCTTTTAAATCTATATGTATTAAACTGATTTTTTTAAAAAACTCAACATTTATCGTGTAACATAGTATTTGAAATTTAAACATTTTCTTTTTTTTTTTCATGATTTTTACCTCGTATTCACTTTAGTTTTTATCGATTTAGATGATTTTTGTTAATAATGTTGTATATTTATATACAACTAATTTATTGCGATTATGTACTATATTTTAAAAACTTAATTTTTATACTCATATGTTTTCGTAACCGATATATTTTTAAAAAATCAAGTTTACTATTTTTTTCTTTTAAAATTTCCCGTATACTGTAATATCTTTAGCGGTCAAATTACTTCAACAAGTTTCCACTCCAATACTCGATATCGTATAACTCCAGTAACTACAGTAAACTTTCCTATCCGCTTTTCCGTTTTTATTAAATATTATACGAGTTGTATATTATTACGTTATCGTTTTATAACGAAATGAGAAAAATACGCTATATGATGACTGTTATAGCCCTGTATGGAAGGATGTGCGAAATTATCGATCGGGTCGTTATATATAATAACATTATATTAAACTTTCGTTCAACGAGAATGATATTTCAAAAATGAGTAAATTATCACACCATATCGAGTTTATTGGTAAATATTAAATGCTGATCTCCGCGTTGCCTCTGCAGACGTCGTTTATTGCGTATAAAATATCAAATAGTTTGTATTATGTAAAAACTCGCTACGTTTCTGCAGTTATACGATATTATATTATTATAATTATTATTAATATTATTATTATTTTCATTTTTCCTGTCTGAAAATAATGAAATAAATAGCAAAATAATATTATATAATGGTTAGGAGGTGAAGGGGAGCACATTTTTTTTTAGCCAATTCATACCTATATACTGAATGTATTACAAATATTATTTTAAATGGCTTCTTTAAGTATGATAGTAATTATTATACCGAACTATAAAATTGCTACCAAAACATTTTTAAGCATATTATAGGCACCTACCGCACCTACCATCTCTGAATATGATAATTTAAAAAAAACAACAAACACATTATCTATATAATAACTACTATTCAGGATGAAAAATTCTTGCACTCTAAATAATACTATTAGATGTTTTATTTTTATTTTATTTTTTTTTACATGTTTTATAAGTAAAAAAAATATATATATATATACATTTTTACTATATACTGTGTTAAACCCATTAAATATATTAAAACTATATAATTATCGGTGACCTTAAAAAAAAAAAATCTATACTCGGCAAAAGTACACATTTGTTTTTACGAGGATCACGGACTCTGCATGCCTATCTCCCATACTATACTCTACTGTAATTAAAACCAAACACATAAAAAAATGCTCAAACAAACTATGAGTAGTCCAGTGGGTAGATTAAATATTATACATTTTAAAAAGTCTTGTTTGTGGGAACGTGGTACCTATGTATATGTTTCAATTAAATTAATAATAATAAACAATTGTAACCTTAATCTAACTATCGGTTATGCTATGAATTATTATTAACTAACATTAGTCTCGATACAACACCCAATATTTAACTAAACTTCAGTAAGTATTGAGTATATATTGGTACTCCAGAGTTATATCTCTACTTAAATTTTAAGTGTAATTGGTGCAAAGGAGCATTAGTCGTTGTTGAATATCATACGTGCAGAATGACAAAAAATTACATTAAAATCTGTCTGGAAATATTGAGTTTTAGGCGATTGGATGAACAGAAATCATGTTTTATACATTTACTGATAAATAAATCTATAACTTACGTACACGTTTTCAATCGTCTATTTTTACTATTTTTTTAAACGTTTCTATGCACCAAACCAGTAAGTATTGTCACTTGTAATAAAAATAAAACACATAAGGATCACTGTATTTGGTTGGGTGAAATAGTTTACGTACAAATATAACAAAAAATCGTATTTTCAGCTAATACGATGTCTGGCTATTAAATAACGAGACTGCTTATGAAAAATGGTTTTATTTTAAAAATTATTCCACAACCGAATGTTCCCCTGCAATATACTCTCCTACCCTCTTCACACACCGTTTTATTCGTTTCTTCCATTGCTCGAGACAGTGCTGGAAGTCTGTTTTCGTAAGACCATTCAGGAGTTCCGCCGATTTTTGTTTCACCTCTTCCATCGACTCAAACCGGATTCCTTTTAAGGCAGACTTTATCTTCGGAAACAAGTAAAAGTCGCANCTGGAGTGCCTTAAGCGGCCAAATAACGCTTCACGCTTTATCCTGGTGCAAGATCCACGACTTGTTTTTCCACAATATCGACCGTTTCTTACGAACTCATTCGCGCAATGTTGCCAAAACTGTCAAATAGTAATGTTGGTTCACAGTTTGACCCTCTGGAACCCATTCAGTCATCACGATGCCGTTGATATCGAAGAAAACAATCAGCATGGTTTTGAATTTGGATTACGACTGAATTGGATTCCAGTGCACTCTCGGCCTTCAGAAAATAATTTATGCCACTCAAAAACACGCGCCCGAGATAGGAAATCCTCACTATAGGCCTCTTTTAACACTTATAACACTCAGTTGGAGTTTTATTTAGTTTAACGAGAAAATTTTACGTTTATCCGTTGCTCATGTTTTTCGTCACACATCGTTTTCGGCAAGAGAAAAAAACATGTTCGTTTCTAAACGCTACAGAAAAAATACTAATACACCAACAAAAACCCAATTTTTTACTGGTATAATAGACACTTCCAGCTAACCAGCGCTGTATTCGGTTTTCCCCTAACCTTTTTGGGACACTCTCTGCGCGCGCAGTCTCGTTATTTAATAGCCAAACCTCGAATAATGAATCGTAATAAACTAGTTTTGGAATACGTTATAAATAATTTTACCTACAACTTAGTAAAATCGTAATTTCTCGTTCCGCTTTATTTTACAGTATTTAAACTAACAGAATAAAACTATTTAAATCGCATACACCGCGGACACCAGTGTGGTTAAAAGTTATCCTTCACTGCAGTGCCGATAACTTATCGGGTGACTAAATATATTTTTCAGTCCGTGTTGTAAAACACATTCGTTTGCGAATTGTAACATCATTGAAAGAGTCTATACAATTATTTTTAGTCTGAGCAGATCAATACTAAAGAATCTAGGAGTTTCCAAATGTATATAATATTTGGCGCTGCGCCATAACAACGATTTTGCACAATTTGAACAATTTTGTCTTATCCGGATATCAATAACGCGGTCCGGTGATTCGACCATTACGACCATTCCCTTGCATATTATTAAACGTCTAGAAGATATGATAGAACAGTCTTAAAATAACCTAACCCTCAATAATCGATACATGATACAATGCTGAAAAAGTGACCGTTGTCGGATTAATAATTGTTATTTCCAAAGACCAAAACAAGAATGTCGGTCACAATAATATGATATTTGTAC